ACGCTGGGGAACCCGCCCGCGCGGCCCGGTAGGGCCACGAAGCACCGACTCTCGACCGCCCCTTCGACGAGGAAGACTGGCCTACCTCGCCATTGTTGTGGAGCGAGGTAACGCCGCTAGAAGAGCGGTGGCGAGTGATGAAGAGGGGTCTCCGAGAATTGGAAAACGCCTGGAGGTTCATTAGCCGCTTACACACGCGGGTAATGGCAAGATTCCAGGCGTATAATGAGCTGCCGGGAACCCGTTCCTTTATCATGCCTTGGGTGGACCGGGTGTTGAGATGGCAAGCGTACCGCGACGCCATCGTATGCATATGGCGAGCCCAGAAGCTCCCAGGGCAGATACCTCCGAGGATGCCCGAACGTCCGACCTCAGCCAGCCAGACTGCAGGGCGAAGTCGAAATTCTTCGCCCTGTAAAATAAGCGTTGACGCATCTCCGTCGGGCCTTGGCTCGGTGAATATCACCATCAACCTGGGTGGCGAACGATCTGGGGAACGGGCGAAGGAAAAATCACGTCCTCACCCCAATCAAGCTCCCCAGACACAAGGTCGGGCATAACAAAGGCAGCCCAATCCCAACGTCGTCGACCCTTCAGGGGTACACGAAGGAAAATCACGAAAAGACGACCGGGGCTGCTACATTTGTGGGCATCCGGGGGTAGCCAAGTCCAGCCGGTATCCGCGGATAGAGGATCACGGAGCTATCCGGCGGGAAAGGAAAAAAAGAAGGACCGTGCCCGAAGAACAGGAAAATAAACTGTACGACGGCGGATAAAGAAAAATAAAAAAAAAAAAAAAAAGGAGAAAAGGAGAAAATTTTCGAGATCTGTTTCCTTTAGTCACCTAATCCTACCGAAAATCCCTTACCTGTCCATCTCTCATTCATTACATCACCAAGGCGTTTAAGCAAAGATCGTCGCCGATGTCGTCCCTATACATCAGTCGACTAGGAGGAGGCTGTAACGAGTGACGCTCGTTAAAAGTAGACCTAAGCGCTTCCATCGCGTTGGGCAACTCAAAAGTCGGCCCGCGAGAATAAAACAGAGAAGGGGAAGCGGAAAGAGTGCGCGAAACGAACGAACGAAAGAAAGTGGGAGAGAGGAGAGAGATTAGGGCATCGGTCAGCGCGTGTTAAACGCGCGTAACATGGGACAGTAGGAAAAAGGGAAAGGGAAATGAGAGCGATTAGGCCGCCGGCCGGCGTGCGCGACGCGTGAAGAGAGGAGAGGAGCGCGTGGCGGCATTCGAGTCCGAACCTGCGGATAGAAAAGCACGAGAGACAAGTGACCGTGAGAAGAAACTAAAGAGCTCCTCGATCAACATCATGCAGAGGGCCGATAATTCAGAGGGAGCAGAGAATCGTAGCTGAGGAAAAGACCTTCCACTGCCCATTATAGCCAGTTGTCCAGAGCGATCTGAGGCAACAGTCGAGGTTCGCGGGTAACTGTGAATCCGGGCAGGGAAAATCTCGGCTAAGAAAAGTGCTGCAAGGAAGGACCAGAAGCCAACGAGACCCGTGGACATCGTCAGTCTCGCAATGCTAGGAATATCCTTCTCTTTAACGGGTAAGATTTTTATTTCCGTTCCGAATAAAACCCCCCTGTTACATATTATTTTTATTATTATTATTATATTACTATGATAATTTTTGTTATTGGTAAAAAAATATATAAGTATATTAATACTTTAACTTCATTTGGAATTAAAGAACACGTTGTTATTGAAAGGGAATTGTATATACATTCATTAGTTTAATGAATGTTATCATACATTCAATGATAATTCCACAGATAAACGTCTTTCACTAATAAAAGTTGTTGATAATATGTGCGAATCATTATATTCTTTTTTTAGATTGTTTTCATCGAGTGTTTACCTCAGCTGCCTGTGTTAGTTTTTCGGCAGTGAGTGACTTTTGTGGGTATTCTAGTTCGATGCCGGAAAGTACGAATAGTACGTCTTTTTGCTTGTTAGTGGTATCATACAGTTGTAGAAAATTTTCTTTAGTGATTTTATATTCATTTACATTATTCAATTTCAAAGTGAATAAAAGTTTCTATAAATTTTAAAAGTAAAAAATAATTCGTTTAAAAGTGATTATTTTTAAAATACTATTTTTATTTATTTGTATTTTATTATTATGTATTTATTATGTATTTATTTATTATGTATTTTATTCACTTTTTGAACATCTTTTCAGTAATTATTACGTTTCATATGAAATGAATAAATAAACTTTTGTATTTTTGCTTCTTCAAAATTAAACTCGATACTGCTCAAAGGGCTCGTCTAGAAAAGATACTGTTTTGTTTTGTCTTGTTTCGAAAATTTATTGTAACGAAAAAAAATTTATAATTTTTTTTTTCAAAATTCCTTCAGAAATAAAAATGTCTAAACCAGTACAGTCTCTTGTTTAGCGATTTCGAGTGTAAGAATACTATCGTAGTAGTTACTTATCATTCATTTTGGGCACGACTCCTACACAATAGGCCTTATATTTTCACCAGAACAAAAAGTGTAACCAATTAAAAAATTATTTAAAGTATGAAATAAATATTGAACTAATATGTGTTCGCTGAAGAAGCCATGTCTGTTTTCAAAGCGAAAAAACACGCGATTTTCGGTGATCTTTTTAAAAGAAGTTAAAAACTGTATTTTATTACAGAAAATTGTTGGTTCAAAAGGGTTTTTCGAAAAATTATTTTAAAGAAAATGGCGGCCGTTTTATGAAATAACGTGGCTTTTCGAAGACTCAATTTTTGATTTTGCTTCCTCCGAGAGAACGCTTTATAATAGTAAAATTTTCAGTTAATACTTCATAGAAGTAAGCTTGAAGGTGTTTGGAGATCGAATCACGTATTTTTCGAAAATGTTTGGGCCTAGTCGGATTTAGTTTACAAGATATAACGTTTTAAAAAAAACCCTTTTTGTGAATAACAGAGTTATGGTTATAGCTAATTGTAAGTAAATTTTGATTTAGTGAAAACATAAGTATTTTGTATTCTTTCAAAAACAATTTGTACCATTTAAATATCTTAATTTTTTTCATCTAAAGAATGGAAAACCCGTTTTTCAAAAATCGAAAATTCACTATAAATCAAAAACGTGTTGATAAAATCAAAATGGATTCTTTTCACGCATTAGGGATAGAAATGCAAAAGTGGATACCAAATTTTATCGATATCCGATGGACAGTTCAAAAATGGTATACGTACATACACGCACACATCCATACGGACATTTTCTAAAGACACGTTTTTTGAACTTCAAACGAAGTTTTTTATGAAGCTGAAAATTTTACTATTACAAAACTTCTTCTAGGAGGGAGCAAAGTTTTAAGACGATTGCTTTTACGATTTTCAAGTTATCTGGGTCACCGAAAAACAACTCTGAAAAAGACAGGTTTCCTTAACATGGCTATAATTCCCTTAATTTACAATATTTTTCAATACCAAAATTCATGAAAGTTTTTCAATATATCTACTTTGGAACCAACAATTTGCTGTAAGCAAAAAGAAAGTTTTCATTTCTCAAAAAGATCGACGAAAATCGCGTGATTTTTCGCCTTACGACTAGGCATAAACCATCATTAGTATGTTACGCATTAAGGACAGAAAGAAGGCAATTACAGACGAGTGTGAAAGTTGTCACCCTAGCGAAGTGAGGGTGGCAATCACTCATTATGATCGTCTTCTTTCCATCCATTATGCATACCACATTTTTTGTCTAATCTGCACCGTAAGTGTGTTATTACATACATGTAAATGCGAGTGGAAATGATAGCACTATTTTCCGCTCTAGAGCGGAAAAGAGAGCCCTAGGATAGAATGTAAGCCCTACAACGGAAATTTTTTCCTTTTCTGCACTTTTTCGCCCGTAAGTTTATTTCCCGCCCAAGGGCTCATTCCTCCGCCCTTGAGGGGCAAAGTGCTATTTCCGCCCGATTTACATGCATATAACAGCATACTTTCGGTGGAGGCAGGGCAAAAAGATATTTTCAACATGTATGTAACCATGGTACATGTATGTAATAAAGTTTTTTAATAAACTCAAAGAGTTTTTTTTATAACATGTGAATAGAAACTACCATTTTCGGCGCCTATAAAGTGAACCAAAAATAGAGTTTCCCGAACATCACAAAATGGAACGAGAATTCTTCTCCAATGCATAAATTAATGATTTCATTCAATTTACATTCACTCGTTTTATTCTGGTAGAAATATAGCAGTCGTACCTTACATGCAAAAACACAGCTTCTATAAATTTTACCGTTTGTTTTTATTTCAGATTGAAAAATGAAAATTAATCCGTTAAACGTTCTGAACTTATTATAAGCATACTTTCAAGCGTTAAACATACCAGATAGTGTCACGAATTATCATGAAACAGAGTTGGTCGAAAAAATAAAAGAAATTTTAATAGATGCAACGCATGATTTGAATGATGTAGAAATGATTACTGATGACTCTTTGGATTTTCAAGAAGAGTATAAAGACCATATTGCGAAAATAATTGAAGATGTAGTGCAACATCATTTTCCTGATCCGGGTATAGCACCAACAAATCAATGTACAGCAGATAATGAAGAACTAGATTTTGAATACAAAAAAAGAGCTGTAGATTTTTGGAGAAGTAACAAAACGAAGCAAAATTTAAGTCTCAAAACAGTGTAAAACAGATTCAAAAAAGTATCATCTATTAGTCAGCTACATCGCTGGGCTCATTCAATTAATAAAGGTAGCACGTATAGAGAAAAAGTATTACAAACTTGTCAGTATACCCTGGATAACTTTAAAGCAGCTCTCGACAATGGTTCAATTATCCATGATGTAGATATAATTCGATGGACCTTACAAGCTAAAAAAGAAATTGGTTTTGATATTAGATTCAAAGCTTCTAAACATTGGTTACTCAAATTTAAGCAAGCACAGAGAATAGTTTCTAGGAAAATAAATAAGTTCATAACAAGAAAAACGCTAGAAAGTAGTGCAGAACTTACGGCTAAAGCTGAAGCATTTATCGATGACGTTAAATCGTGTATACCAAGAATTGGACTTGAAAATTTGTATAATTCAGATCAGAGCGGATTTCAGCTAGAAATGCATTCTGGAAGAACATTAGCAGTAGAAGGAGAAAAGCCAGTGCAATGTCTGGTACAGTCAATTTCAGCAACAACGCATAGTTATACTATACAGCCACTAATATCAGCTACTGGACAATTGTCGTCATCGCTATTTCTAGTTTTAATGGAACCAAGTGGCAAGTTTGGCCCTATTGTAGAACAAAACATATTTAGACCAGAAAACGTGTACATGGAAACATCCAAATCTGGAAAATTAACAACAAGTAAGGGAACTAATAACAATTTTTATATTGTAACATCGTTGATCAGTTAATTAGTAAGTCGTTTAATTGCAGATCACTTCAAAATCTGGTTGGAAAAAATATTTTATCCCCATGTAGGTCATCACTTAATATTATGACTTGATTCTTGGAGTGGTCATTGTGACAAAGTTATAGAAGAAACGATGCCACAAAGTATAATTATTAACATAAAAAAAATTCCAACTGGAACCACAGGAAAAATTCAACCATTGGATGTCTATAGATTCCGTATTTGGAAAAACTTTGTCCGAACATTTTCTGATAATGTAATGTTAATGGATCATGATATGAATTTACACGTGAGAAATAATATAATTAAACTTTAATCATTGGTTCACAACTAACTGTCTTCACCGAGATATATAGATTTGTTTAAATATTCCTGGTATAAAAGTGGTTACGTCAATAAAAAACCAGATAAATTTGATAATCCTATAGATTTCAGTTTTGGAAAGTCTTGTGCAATACATTGTGAAATAGAAGGGTGCACAAACATTGCAATTGTACAATGTGGTTGGTGCAAAAAAGCATTGTGCTTTAAACACTTTTATGAGTACTACCATTATTGTAAAAACTTCTTAAAATAGTATATTTTATGCTCAATACAAAAATGCACTATGGCAAAAGATAAAAGATTGTAGATTATTATTATTATACTCTAATATTATACAGATAAATTCATTATAAGTTAAATATACAATAAAGGAATTTCAATAACATTCTGATAACAATTTCTACGGAAATTATAAAACTGCTTCACACACAGAATTTTCTTGTTTACAAATTTAGGAATTTGAGGTGGTTTGGTTAAAAAGCACAGGCATCTAGCCTATTTGTTATTTAGGGGATTAGGGTTTAAGGCACTTTAGTTCACATGTACAGGCTACAAAGATCGGACATTTGTAAACAAGTTTTTATGAAAGTTAAATTTTTTTTCCGACATTTTCGTCTACCACATTGGTTCCGCCATTTTAAATTTTCAAAATCTGATATCAGATTTGTAAAGAGCGATCACGAAAACCCCTATATACAAACCTTCTACAAAATATTATCGATTGAAGTATACTTATAGTTATTTTGTGTTAGGGGTGGTTTACCCCCCCTTAGGGGTAGTATCTATGAAAAAACCGAAAAACTTAATTTGTTTATTATAGATGTTTACAAATTTTTTCCAATTTTTTTAGTCATTTAAAACTTTTTTATTATATAAAATTTTTTTTCGATATTTCCGTCCGCCATATTGGTTCCGTCATTTTGAATTTTCAAAATCTGATAACAGATTCGTAATCAGCGATCTCGAAAACCTCTATATACAAATCTACCTCTGGTATTACTGCATTAGCGGCGACGGCTGCCGGTAAAATTTCCTCCTCGGGAATGGGAGTGATAACCCTATCGCCCGGCGGCCTAATTGGCTCAGGCAGAACGGCAACGCTTTCTGTTGATCGCGTCGTCTGTCCTGGCGATCGCCACTCTGCTGCCTTGGGCGGCGCAATCCTAACCGGTTCGACCGTCCTATCTCGCTTTCGTCACTGCTAACTGACGTATGCATCGGCTCATCACGTGATAGATCAGGCATGCGACCCGGCGTAAAATCGCTCGGATGTAAGGACGACCCAAGCTCTGGCCTCTCCATGAAACGCAAGTATTTTCTTAAGTACCTTTTCTTAAGTTCATCCATCTCGCCGTGCAACGCTAACCTACGGTAACGCATTAGTTCAAGCAGGGCGGCCGGTTCTATTGAATCGATACGGCGCTTGACTTCCTTAACGCGGGTATCGCGAAGCAATCTACGCATCGTAAGCCGATCTTTGCTTGCGAGTAGCATGTTGTAAAAAAAAATTTTTCTTTTAACGGCGCAGTTGCGGTGGTGACGAACAGTCAAACAAGCGCATGGAACGCGATAACCGACACGCTAAGAATTTAACAACACAACAACAAAAAATAAACGAGAGAAAACGAAACAAAAAATAAACTAACATCGCCTTCCCCGTGTCATACACTGGCAAGTTATCGCCTAGGATTATATTTATTATAAAATCGCTACCCCGAGCGATGACGATTAAAACACTTTATCAAAACCTTAACCTAATACACAATAAATTCTTATCAACTAACTGAGATAGCCGGCACGTGAGCGCCTTGCCATCTCATTACCGACTCGATACACAATAATAAAAAGAAAACTTAACCACTAACGCAGCTGTGCCGGCCCGCGAGAGCCTGGCACAGCGCACAAATCGCGAATAGCCAAAAGGGTTAAACCGATTAAGAAAGAGAAACGAGAGGAGAGAGGATGACCTGTATAATTGGCGAAGTCTGCTGGGCTGGCACGTTGATCTTTCTTTTCTGCCGGTTGGTGACCCCGTGTGGTATGGCGTGACTGGTAGACAAAGGCTGCTAAGCTCGAAAAATACTGTGCCACTGCCTTAGATCGCTGTACTCTCACTCGCGAGGTCATTTCCTTAATGCTCGCGAGAGATGACTCAATAGTGCCTGAGAGACTGCCCCCCTCTCTCTCTCTCTCCCTCCCTCTCTCTCTCTCCCTCCCTCTCTCTCTCTCTCCCCCTCTCTCTCTCTCTCTTTCTTTTTTGTGGAAGAGAGACCGATGCTGAAACAAAAGGCTGGCATCAGACACGAAAAATATACGTGCGTCAGATGCCTGCCATGAGCCCTTGCTAATGTCGGAGAGAGAAAAGGGACGCACGGTGTAGGCCATGACCAGCCTACATCGTTATAAAGTTGTTCGTTTTCTTATCCTTTGTCATGTACAAGATACTTTTCAATAAGGCTATAGAATATTCAATTATTATGAGATCATTCGTTGATAGGTTGAAAATGTGAGAAAAATGTATCAGCTCCGCACCTTCGTCAATGAATGACTGTACATAATCCATCATTGTTTGAGCCGTAGATTCATCTAAATTGTACGAGTTACTAAGATATTCACGCAAGCAGGCTATAGCCCGACTTCGAATATTGTTACTTAATGATTTCATAATGTGTCTGATGCTGCTGCAGACGGTAAATGAGCTGCAGCGAATGAATCGCGCTCCTTTTGTAACGGCAACTGAGTCATAGAGAGGGTAAATAACTCATTTAACTTATGAATGTCAGAAAAAATTTCTATGATTTTCATATCAAGTTCTTGTCACTGAAGATCAATGAATTGTAACGGTGAAATCCAGTCGTCCTTCTCAAGGTGGCTCGCGACTGCCCGTACAAATTATTTGTTCGATAAAGAGGATCCGGGAAGCAAAAGAAAACGTTCCCACGACTAAATAATGCGTCGAGCGAACGCATTAATCGCACGCGAATTGACTAACACGAGATCAGGAGTGACTTCAGGCGCAAATATCACAACAACATTCGAAATAACATAGCAATTTTTAATAATAACAAAATAACAAAATAATAAAATTTATATTGAACAAGTAAATATTACCGCCGTTACAACAAATTTACGAGCGTAAACACGCAGCGGATCGGCTGCAGGACTGCTCACCGAATCGCTGTTTACTTAATGGAGAAAAAGAAAATACAAAAGAAAAGATGCATCTGAATACAAAATAAGAAAAAACAAAAAGCCCGAAGAAAGTCAACAGGTGACCCCGTAGCCGGCAGAGCTGTCGGGCAACGTAGTATTCGATCGACGTTTCGGACAGAGAGAGAGAGTGAGAAAAAGAGAGAAACACAGCACCGACCTTGCCTCGCGCTGTTGATATGTGTGGCTCCGTCTTCTTGCCCTCTGTCTACGTTGAAAAATTCTGCGGCGATATAAAAAAATCCTGTATTAGATGTATTCCTCTCGAGTTCCCAAATTCTTGTTAGTTAAGTTTCGGTAGTGTTGTTGTTGTTGATATTATTAATGTTATTATGATTGTTGTTAGTGTTGTTGTTATTGCTAATTCCGTTAACGTGGCTGCTGTTGTTAATGCTATTGCTGTTATCGCTGTTGTTATCGCTATTAGTGTTGTCGTGGTCGCCCTGGAGAGTATGTATGTGTGTATTGCCTGTGATTGATGAGTGTACGTGTGTGTTCTGATTGTGTCGTACTCCGTCCAAAACCAACGAGAATAGCAGCTCACCGTCAAGACAAGATGGCCGCACGCACACACAAACTCGCGTCACCTCGCCGGTCGTCTACATGCACCGGGGCCGGCCTCGCTGCAATCGCGGTATCACCTTACGCACAAGAAAAATGTCACTATTCCACGCACCAGGCACATATCCTTGAAAATTACGGCGAGGGCGCGGGTACTCAACCAATGAAGGAAACACGGGCGAATAACCAAACAAATGATGTGCGCGCGGCGGTCTACTCTGCTGTCCAACTGCTACTGCCGATTTTTTTCTCTCTCCGCTAACGAGGTGCGCGCGCAGGTTTGCCGGCGACTCGCTGGCTCTCTCTGATCTTCCGTCTCTCTCTCTCTCTCTCTCTCTCTCTCTCACTGCCATCTTCTCGTCAGCTCCCTCTAATCGCCGTCGCCGCCGTCGCAGCTCAAGAAAGGGAGTAAAAGAGACAGCAGATGAGAGTGTGCTCAACCAACGCGGGAAGGCGCACGGGGATTGGTGAGAGTCTAACGGAAAGCAACGGCCGAGCCGTGTGAACTCCGTTACACAATATATAAGTTTTTTTAACTTAGCTTTCAATTTTAAAATAGAATCTTAAATATTTTCAATCTCTGTTAAAAGAATCTCATGTGAAGTTTTCAAATTTACTTTGTCAGCTCCTCTGAGCTTGCGTCCAAACACGTCAATGCTCATTGTTAAAATGAATAAAAAAAGGAAATGAATGGATGATAAATAG